TTGAAATTCACGAATTTGGCTACGTCGACCAGTCTTGGTCAGTTAGGTCAACTCTTCTGTACACGTCTTGAATAGTGCAAACAGTCTTGGATTTCCACGGTCCTCGCGAGTGAAATTCTCTGTTTCTCAAAACAAGATCAAGTAATATCTGTCCGTTTACCTTATGGTCATGTGACATAATCCAATGTGCGCCAATATATATTTATGAACAAACAAACCAATCTTGCATAAGAGAAACAAGGAAGGAAACAACGAATGAGGAATAAAAGGAAAGATTGCACAATTAAGGAACGTGGAAAGGGAAGGTCAGAGTGTATTGTCGAATCCAGGAAAGCGTACGATCTAGTTCTAGGCCACGAAGAGCCTTGTGACACTAGCCTAATAAGCTATGGGTCCAAGTGACAAGCGATCGATGATGAATCCGTACAAATCATTCACGAGTACCTATCGCATTAAAGTTCGGTGCTAGGTCAACACGCATAGAGCAGTAGAAGCGTATCCGCTTTGCTCGTTCGTTCAAATCCATTTCGTCGTTGCGTCTAAACTTCCGCGAGAAACGTCGCGTCGCGAGTTCCCCGATCTCTGTCATCGCGACTCGCCACGGTGAAATTAATTAATTGTCACCACATGCTCCTGATACGGTGCCACCGTAATTTCGAAATTTGGTTGTTGTGAGGATTTACGGTGAGCGAATCGATCTTTACGTTGATTCGTAGAATGAAATTTGCAACGTTAGGCCACGTATTGCATTATTGCTGTCTTCGTCTAATATACATATAATACAGTGTGTTCATTGATTTTATTACAGATAACATGAATCTAGAGGAGTATCGCATACATGGTAAGTAACAGAATTTTGTTCTATAAACATGTGCAAAATCATTCTGTCGGTGAACTAAATTTCACTTCAATGAAAAAAATTATGGAAACAGGAAATGGAATTTTTAAAAGAGAAAATATTTTTTTAAGACACCTAAAACGTACATGAATTATTTATAAATATTGATGCTCCATTGAATACCCCTGCGGAATGTAAAATACTTACAATGTACATTATGTACCATCAACCAGATTCCTAGGCATTAAAATGTACCAATAAAGAGGAATCACTGCGCGGGGGGAGTAAGTCTATGGGAATTTTATGGATTCGATACTGCTTCCAATACGGGCCAACGCTAAATTCCGTCTTTACAATCTAAGTCTCCGGATCGTAGGCAAAGCATCTGAACGAGATTTCCCTTTTCCTTAAATCCAATTTTGTAAGGAAAATCAGTTTCTCTGTTTATCCCGTGTTCTACAAGTCAATAAATTTAGAAGCATATATCACGGTTCTAAATCTGACAAACAATTTTTATCGATCTTCGATGTGTGAAAAGGTTGCACGTCGAACAAACGGTTTAACGCTTATAAACAATCGTTCGGTTTCTATTTGCGCTTGACCTCTCTCTTTTACAAATCGTCGGATGGCACGAATCGAATTCATTGCAGGATACAACGTGCATCGACGAAATGAATTGGGAGAGAAACAAAGGCTTTATTTAGAGAAACGATTGCGTCCACGAAAGTATTTTCTCAATATCTCTTAGCATCTTTTAAATAGAAAGACGCAAACATAATTGTTCTAAAGTTCTCGAATTGAACGTTGATTTTCTAGGAGTACTATAGAATTTGATAATGATTATCTTTTTATGCTTCTATTTAATGAGGCGATTACAGTTACGTTTAGGACATAAATTCTATTTATATTATAATGTAAATGCGAACTTCATATTGCGATTCGAAACCGTTAGGAAAAGATATGGTGGATTACATCGCCGATTATTTGGCGAACATCCGATCTCGGCGCGTTTACCCGGCGGTTTCACCAGGTTACCTAAGAAATGTTCTTCCGACCTCGGCACCAGTAGACGGCGAATCCTGGGACGACATATTCGCGGACATCGAAAAATGCATCATGCCAGGCGTAACGCATTGGCAGAGTCCACACATGCACGCCTATTTTCCAGCTTTGAATTCACCTGCTAGCTTGTTGGCTGACATGCTGGCCGACGCAATCAATTGTCTTGGATTTACTTGGGTAAGAACAATAATGTGAATATTGTGCTCATCTACGTACATAGAAATGATTCAATCCATTCTCGTGTTCAACGTTAGTATTGTATTTATTCTTTAAAAAATATCCATACTGTGGATAAAGTAATGGGGAAAGGAAATCGAAATATGAAGTACGAATTATGCGCGTTTACTATTATCTGAATTTTCCTTGACGAATTGGATTGAAAGCTACTTTATAAACTAAGTTCAGAAGTTATACCATTCGACTTCGGCGTTTCGTATAGTACAATTAATATATGTGCCTGTTGTCAGCGTTTAGTAAAAGCGGAAGTCTTTCATTAGAAGTTACGGAAACTTGAGAACGTTGTCTGTACTCCATACTCTATAATTGCAAATATCTATAATTACAAATCTCAAATTTTTATTTTTCAACATAAAAATTGCATTTAAAAATTTACAATTTGCTTTATAAACCAAAGCTGCAAAATCATTGAATTTCTCTTCAATTTCTTCAACAGAGAGAGAAAATTTTCTATTCGTATTTGTTTAAAAGGCTTCGAGTCCTGCGTGTACGGAACTAGAGACCATCGTAATGAATTGGCTCGGCAAAATGATCGGCTTGCCAGAAGAATTCTTGCACCGCCCTGGTGGATCCGGAGGTGGTGGCGTGATACAAACAACCGCATCAGAAGCTACCCTCGTTTGCTTACTCGCAGCGAGAACCCGAGCCATTAGAGATGTACAGCAAAATGAGCCAGACCGTTTACCCGCTGAGATTAATTCGCGTCTTGTTGCTTACTGTTCCGACCAAGTTCGTATTTTTCTTTTAAATTGTCTCTTGAAACGATCTCATTCTCCTCAGAGTTACTTAAGAATTCTCATCGCTATTCTTTCTCCTTTTGCATATTAATTTCTATGACCCAAATGATTAATTTTTTATATTCTTATATATTACTTATTTCTTTATAATCTATTCCAAAGAATTTCTTAAAATATTCTTTTTAGTTTTGGAGCGATATGTAAGGATTTTCATTGTTCATTTCCTATAAATTCATTCTTATAAATTCGCCCATGTTTCATAGGCTCACTCGAGTGTAGAAAAGGCTGGATTGATAGGCTTGGTTCGGATGAGATATATCGAAGCCGATGATGAACTTAGTATGAGAGGAGATGGGCTGTTAGAAGCGATAACGCAAGACCGAGCTGACGGTTTACTTCCGTTTTTTGTGAGTATTGTTTTTCATACGTCTTCAAATATGTTTCATAAAGATATTTATGACTCGAAATAAAACTAAATATCGTTACTTTATCGAAAATAAATCATACCTCATTTGCCGTAATTATAATTTGTTATAACATTTATTTTATTTGTTATTTTCTTCTAACATGTCAGAGATATTAAAAACAATATCGCAGTTCTAAGCTTATTAACGAAAATAGTAATTTCACAGAATAATATGATCGATTTTTCAATTAGCTTAGAGTAGGAAGTAGTGCGAGTAGAATATAGGGCAGACATAGCGTTGCAAGGCGGATTGTCTTTTCGCTAGTTGGTCCCTATGGGCATCGACTAACAACATCCCATTTTTCAAGATAATAAATCTGAATTACGAAAAACTTTCATTGGCAAGGATTGAAAATACGTGATAAGTTTGATTGACAAATAAATTCCGAACGCTACTAATAAAAAGTATCTACTTGTTTCGTGAACTAATTTAAGAATGAAAAATAAAAGACTATTTTTAATACGAAGGTCTGCGCCACTTTGGGTACGACGGGTGCATGTTCATTTGACAATCTCAAAGAAGTTGGACAAGTGTGTAAGTAAAATAAGAATGAACAAAAGGAATAATGTTCACGTTTTCACACTTCTTTCATATTTGTAAACACGACTTATCGCAGTTTAATTTGTTCAACTTGACAGCTAATTTTTTTTATGTAACCGATAGGTGAACAAAATGGACTTTGGTTACATGTGGATGCCGCCTACGCTGGAAGTGCATTCGTCTGTCCTGAATTCCGTGGTTGGCTTCAAGGAATAGAATATGCCGATTCGATTGCATTTAATCCTAGCAAATGGCTGATGGTGCATTTCGACTGTACAGCCATGTGGTAATTTATATACAAAAATATATTAATTTTATTTCAATAATTCAAATTCTTGCATATTTTTTATATTAAGAGAACGCAAAATAGAAAAATAAAATTTGTATATTACAAATCGCTGTAGATCCGATAAAATCACAAACACGGGACATTATTATCTCTCGTCCTCTGTCTCTCATGACTTATAGGTTGAACTGAGCGGATGCAGAATCGGTTTTTTCATTCTTCCTGCAATTTCCGTCAAGCCGCCGTTCGGCTGACCTGCAATCCTTAAGATTGATATTTGACGGCTTATTAAAGCCGAAAGCAGAATCTATTACGTTTTAAATAAATTGTTCATCAGAGGATATTAAACATTCTTATTTAGAAAATAGTTCCAGTTGAAATAAGCTTCTCAAATAATGAACTAAAATCATTTGGAAAAGACATAATTGAATTCCTATCAAATTAAATATTCGTACCGCGAACCGTTCGACTAAATTACGATATAACGTGAAAATTCTTTAGAGTCAGTCAAATGAACGAAATGAAATTGCAAGGAAATATGTGCACAATTCATGCAAGAAATGAAATATTAAACAACGAGAATTAAAAATACTTTTCTTATTGTTCCAGGGTGAAAAGTAGCCAAGCACTGCACAGAACTTTCAATGTAGATCCATTGTACCTGAAGCATGAGAACTCAGGTAACGTAGAAACAAAATATCTCTACATTCAAATATTAAAATATCGTGTTCACTTGAGGACGATGTTTGATTAAATAAGGTATATTCTTTATTTTCAGGACTTGCTATTGATTACATGGTAAATAATCAATAAACCGACGTAAAAATATTTCAGAATAAAGATACTTACACTTATTTATGATTTTAGCACTGGCAAATTCCGTTGTCAAAGAGATTTAGAGCGCTGAAACTGTGGTTCGTCATTAGAAATTACGGAATCACCGGCCTTCAAAAGCATATTCGCGAGGTTTCTATTATGTCATACTTTACATATGTTAGATAATATATTTCAAGCTGATGTAAATCTATCACAGCGTTTCGTAATGCAAACTTTTGAACAAATCTATAAATAATCAATTATTATTATAAACAATTAATATGACTTCAAAACGACTATTAGTAATGTCTTCTTTTTTTAAGAGCATCTTCGATATGATGTAAGATTTTTTTTACTCTTATATAATTATTTAAATGCGAATTTCAGGGTGTTAGACTGGCACAAAAATTCGAGGCGTTAGTTTTAGCTGACGCGCGCTTTGAGATTCCTGCGACAAGACACTTAGGGCTCGTCGTGTTTCGTCTTCGCGGAGACAACAGTTTAACAGAGCGATTGTTGAAAAAGATGAACTCGAGGGGTCGCGTGCATTGTGTACCAGCCGCTTTGCACGGGAAATACGTGATTAGATTTACCGTTACATCGACTAAGTAAGTTGATCAGGAAATCATTCGAATTTCTTTTTAATATGAAAATGATTTAAAAGATGGTGTTCGACAAAATAATTCTCGCATTAAATTCTGCGTATTTTGACTAAAATTTTAGCACGACTAACGAAGACATTCTAAGAGATTGGGCCGAGATAAGAAACACTGCTAATGAAATTTTGGGAGACACTTCAGCTTCGCCTGTACGAGCAAAAGTTCCACTCGCAGGTAACGCAGATTCTAACGGTAGATCGACTGACTTGATACAATCAATATCATGCAATTTTTAATATACAAGGTAAACATTGTGCATGTGGAAAATCATATACTGTGTTAATACTTACAAATCGTAAACCCGTTTTTCACTGATGATTCTGTTTCAGATTCTCTAGATAAACGGGGTTTTATGTTTCCTTTTTTTCTACCTCTGCATCAAAAAGCAATGTCGACATTTTATATAAAGAAAAATTTTTATTTGTCGATTAACAAATAATTAGAACTTAGACTTATTAATTACTATGACCGGAGCTACGCAACAATAGATTGAGTGTATAAGAGCATGCTTTGACACGTCCACGGATGGACGAGACATCGGATAATAAGAAATTTCAATGCTTACGAAATTTTAAGTGAAACTGTTCTGTTTGAGATTTTAGGTTCATTAAGTGACCGCATACGCCAGACGATGTCCCTCTTGTCTATAATATGCATATAGAGCAGTAACATATCCAATTCTATAAATCTACTTTTATGTTGAACTTATTGTTCCTGATCGTGGTTCTTATACATATGTAGATTATATGAAGTGCGAATACTCGTGTAGCTCTGGCCTAGAACTTCGTAGAAGAAATAGTACTATAAACATAAGTAATATAAAATTATTATAAAGATCAAAAATGTTAGTAAGACGCACATACATAATAACGACTGTCAAAATCCACAAATTATGTAACTGTGAACGAACAAATTATGAATATTTAAAACGTTCTGTCTTCGAATCTGCTATTGCATATTGCACAAGTGGAAGACAAATGCGCTTTATATTATTACTCAGCTAGCTACTCAAAACTATACGCATTATATAATTTGTATTAATCAATAATAAGCAATTTGTGTTTAATTTTCTTGTTTTGCTTTGTTTTTCCTTTTTTTTTTATCAAAACGCATGTCTATAATTTTTGGAACACAGAAAGCTCAGGTAAGACGAGTTTCCAGCTACTTTTGATTTTATATTTCGTATTTTTACATTAATTTCTTAGAATATAATATTTTTTATCAGCATGTGATTGTTTATACGTTTAAGAATATTGACAGAAGAACGGAAACAGTAAACAGGTTTTCACTTTCTAGATACTCGAGAGAAGAACGAAAACTTTGGTTCGAGCTTGTTATTGGCAAATTCTCCGATGTCACCGAAAATTGTAAACGGCAGCTTCGCTGCGATATACGACACGGCAGATATTTTCGAGGGATGTGCAAAAGCTTTTGGTCAGTTGCGACTTGAAGCTCGGGATAGCCCAGGTAAATAAAAAATGGAAAACTTTTAGATTGAACTGCCTGATATTCGCAGATTGATCATGTTCCATTGATGATTGTATGAACGTTTGTCATTTAACGAAACTACTTAGGCGAAAGCATAACAAACCGTAAAAAGTGATTGTTATTCGATTAAAATAGCTTTATCGCGAACCCATACTCAACATAATTTTTTGTGGTGTATTAGATTGCTTAAATTATTTTATTTGATTTTTAATACTCGGTTCATTTTGCAAATGCAATGTTTCTTATTATATGACTTGTTCGTTAGCAAAATGCTGTTCATTGTTCTTAGTGATCTGTGATTTGATTTTAAGCGATGCGACGTCGAATTCGAGGAATATTAATGTCAGGAAAGCAATTTTCATTGGATTCACGTATGGATCTCGTACAGGTGAATGAAAAATAATACTTTATAGGAACTTTATATTTGTATTATAGTAAAATCATTATACATATACATAAATCGTGTATTTAGGGATACGTTTGTTGCCGTCCAACCATAGAAATGACTTCGGAATTGCCGCTGCAAGAAGATGATGATCAAGGAAACAATGAAGTAGAAAGTGACGCTAATCCATCTAATAACGGTAAGTAATATTAACTAATTTTAACAACTAATAATCGATATTAAATAATATTTATCGTATCTTATAATATCAGATAATTCTGGCGAGTGTTCAAAGGCCCAACAAGAAACGCAACATTTTGGAAAATCATTGACAAGGCAAACATCTAAGAGCCGATCTAATTACACTGTAAATGGTTCGGTAAAAGTTGGTCCTCAAGATTGTGCGAATACTTTGATGACCATTGCGCCGACAGAAGGTAATCTACCAAGAAGCGAAACAATAGCTTCGTTTGGTCATCGTCCATACTCTGGCGATTTGTCAACGATGCACGGTCAATGCGAGAATCCTGATAAGGAGAAGGAGGGCGCATCATTCTGCAGGAAATGCGATCACTGTATGAAGAAATAATAAATTTAATGATATAGTTAGCCAAATAAATGTAATCGTTGACGCGTCAGTTCTCGACTGAGTGTACTCCTTTATGTCTTTGATGGATTCTATGTTATTTAAATTCAAGCATGGCGCCCAGTGACAAATTATTAAAAATAATGTAATCAACTGCGATTATAAATCTGAATTTACTGTCCGAATCACTTTATATTTACTCTCCACTTCTGATCCCTTATATTCCTCAAAACAATGTAGAAAAATATACATTCTCATACGACATTCAATTCAATAACGTATTTTCATTGCGAGTTATGAACAAGACATGACAATGAATCTGACCAATCTAGGCCATGATTATTTTTACTCCCAGTAATTTGTGAAAAAGAAATACATTCATGCCTATTATGATAGTAGTGACTAGTTCTAGAATGGCTAGGGTAAACAAAATCTCGCACGGATATGGAGTTTAGCACCTTAACAATTCTTCTTTCGTTAATTTGATTAAAGAAAATATCGCTTCGACATAACACAATTTTTTCGGAATAATATAAATAGAAAGGAGAAACATACACATACATTCATGTGATATGTACCTATATTTGCATTGAAGTATCTTATAATATCAGATAATTCTGGCGAGTGTTCAAAGGCCCAACAAGAAACGCAACATTTTGGAAAATCATTGACAAGGCAAACATCTAAGAGCCGATCTAATTACACTGTAAATGGTTCGGTAAAAGTTGGTCCTCAAGATTGTGCGAATACTTTGATGACCATTGCGCCGACAGAAGGTAATCTACCAAGAAGCGAAACAATAGCTTCGTTTGGTCATCGTCCATACTCTGGCGATTTGTCAACGATGCACGGTCAATGCGAGAATCCTGATAAGGAGAAGGAGGGCGCATCATTCTGCAGGAAATGCGATCACTGTATGAAGAAATAATAAATTTAATGATATAGTTAGCCAAATAAATGTAATCGTTGACGCGTCAGTTCTCGACTGAGTGTACTCCTTTATGTCTTTGATGGATTCTATGTTATTTAAATTCAAGCATGGCGCCCAGTGACAAATTATTAAAAATAATGTAATCAACTGCGATTATAAATCTGAATTTACTGTCCGAATCACTTTATATTTACTCTCCACTTCTGATCCCTTATATTCCTCAAAACAATGTAGAAAAATATACATTCTCATACGACATTCAATTCAATAACGTATTTTCATTGCGAGTTATGAACAAGACATGACAATGAATCTGACCAATCTAGGCCATGATTATTTTTACTCCCAGTAATTTGTGAAAAAGAAATACATTCATGCCTATTATGATAGTAGTGACTAGTTCTAGAATGGCTAGGGTAAACAAAATCTCGCACGGATATGGAGTTTAGCACCTTAACAATTCTTCTTTCGTTAATTTGATTAAAGAAAATATCGCTTCGACATAACACAATTTTTTCGGAATAATATAAATAGAAAGGAGAAACATACACATACATTCATGTGATATGTACCTATATTTGCATTGAATAATATATGAACAGACGTGTCACTCTTTTTCATCTAATAGTCTATTTAATAATTTCGCGTTAACAATTGCAACGGTATAACATCCTCGTGTTCTCTCGATCCGATACGCCATTTTTAATCGTATTAACAATTATTAAATTATAATATGCCCTTACAACCGTCTATCACCGCTTCGCTTCTCTCTAATTCTGAACACTTTCGTCCTATTACATTTATAACATCCATATATTTTTCTCTTTAACATTTCTAACTACATTCGTGATGATTTATAACATATCATTTTCAAGTAACCCCTTTAGGATTTCACCCATTCGCGAAGGGTAGTATGTATATTACGTAATCATATACGATATGAGAGATCGTTGAAAATATTTATGTTACATACATCTTCCTCCGATATTCTGTGTTTCGATTTGATGAAGAATCTAATTTTGCACGTGTTCAATTTTACAATAACAAATTACCCATGTTATTTGTACCAAAATATGCATTTCTTCACACACCGTACTTGATATTAGCGTAACGCTTTCAGACCTGATCTTTTATAATAGCTAAGCACTGCTTAACGCTATTCTACACATGTATTAATCTGATATCACTAATGTACTATAATACATTTAGTAGGAAATTAATATATGTATTCTAAGATAACTTAGTAGAAACTTTACCCTATACTTCTTATTAAAACGCTCCCCATTAAACAGAGCTTAACTATTCAAAATTAATTTCCAATCATTCTTATCCGTTACTGTATTTACTCCGTTGAGGCAACGATACGTGCATCATTCTACTTTCTCCTTTACGAGTTTGACTCTCCTTTTTGTGAAAAGGCTGCGATAGTGCAAAACAATAATTTTACGTATAAAACTATATAAAACATTTTGTCGAATTGAAGATCCTTTGCCGCGTTTATCGTGGTGAGAGAGAAGTTAGAGCTTAAATTCTCAAACAAGGAAATCAGAGATAAATTGTTAATTGCTTATGTCTGTATTTAGTATTTAGTAATTACTTTCTAATAAATTAATCTCCATTTAATTGAGCATAAAGGGTTAAATTAGCACAGAATTATTAAGCAGAATAAAAAGCACCGGATAAATTTCAACAAAATTTTGTGAATCCGACGATCGCTTCTTTCTTTTGTATACATTGTCAGTTAAAATTATAAGAACACCCTTTAAATTAATGTGAAATGTAATATGTTAAGGCAACCGTTTGGAGCAAACTGGGGACAACAATATTACGTGCTAAAGTATAATTTAAAATACTACTTTGCTAACAGAACATCGCCTCATGCCATCGAATATATTCTAATACATAATTATCTTGAAATCAATGAAACTGACATCAACGTAGAGCCAAGTGAATAGAAAAATCAACGAATCTCGGGGCAACGATCATACAAATCGATAGACACTGACACGAGACAGAGGGGAATTCTTGACACTTGCATCTTAAATCGTAAAATGTAATCGCCATACACCATTCAGTTATGCCCAATGTTCGTTAACATCGAAATAAAAAATGTAGAACATATCGATACGTAAGTTGACATCTCGGCGCATGTAAACATCAATTTGTAACAGACAGAGTGTACATCAATAGTAATTTCCTCGTAAATTATGCAAGCACATTGGATATGAGCTTTTGTGTAAATAGGCGGACGAAAGAGTATCGATCTCGTGTTTCTCATCCCTCTTTCCAAATCGACTCTGCTCGAGATGGATAAATCTGGTCCTTCAAACGTACTACTTAAGAATTTGGTCTTAGCAAAATCACCGCAATTGCTTCGCACGCATATATTCGTATTGCTGCTATGTGGATTCTTTCCAGCTGCGAGGCAAAACTTAAAAATGTAGATTCATTTGTTACATGCTAATACAGTGTTGTCATTGCACCATCGTTGCTCTGTCTGCTAAGATCTTCGTGTTTTCGAATAAAAATTCTTCGCAGTTGGGCAATGACAAACTGGAAATAAAATAAAGTGGTCAGATGAATAGAAGACGCGCGAGAAAAGTAGCCTCGCAGCCGCGCGTGCAACAATGAACAAATGACGCGACACGAGCCGCATGGCTTGCCAGAGAAACACCGGTTAGCTCGCTTTTAATTGCAACCACCGACGCTTGTTTGGCAAGAGACTCCACAGCGGAAGCCTTTCTGTGAGGACATGCGCGTTCAACTTGGACGTGCCAGCCATACCCTGAAATATCATTCTGCGTGATCGAAAGCTACGATCTCACGAGTAGACGTCGCCTTGCGTTGATCGAGTATCACATTATGTGTCGCACGATTTCCGAAAGCCTTAAAGCCCTTACAAATCTTCACCGATGCGCGCAATGACGTGGCACGATCGAAGCTGAAGGCCCACGTTGTGCTTTTTATATTAGTTCGATCTACCTCGCGTTGCATTCGTCGGAATGGAAGGTTTCGTGTTCGGGTTAATGTTTTAAGCCGGGCCTCAATCAAGAAACAGACTATCACGTTATTATGGCATTAGAAATATACTTGGTCTTCTGTTTATATTGTCTTTTTTTTTATATCGAGAGAAACTATGTCTGCTTAAAAAATTAACTCAAAGGTCTTTTCAACATTTTTAAAGAAATACAAACAGAATACTTATAAATGTTCGAATCGATATTTGAGGATCTGTTTCATATCGAAGCAACGACTACGGATCTGGATTTCCTTGTCTTCCGCAATAATACTATCAACAGTTTCATGCAAATGTCATGCAAGGGGTTGCTGCATGGGCGAAAGTCGCAGGACAAAGGAAAAGGGAAGAACACAAAGTCTTCAGAGACGTCGTACAGTAGACAATGAATCATCGAACTGTAAAACAATCAGTCTTGAAGTATCCGCTGTCGTAACTTTCAATATACTGATTATTCAAAGTGCTACAATCCATGCAGTCAAACTTTCTTCTTTCTACGCGTGAGCATATACTTCTGCCAGATATGTGATTGTAAAACGCGCTAACACTACTGTGATACATTAGCGCGCGAATGCCTTCGACAATTGACATTCAAATTTCAGCCAACATAAAGTTCGTTAAAAATGAATACAATATTGCTAACATTATCCATTAATGATTCTATGCTACTGATGTTATCTTTCTTATCATAATCAGCTTTCGAAAATTATGAAAGGCACACACGCGCTATCAAACAGAAGTAAACCTAGAACTCGAAAATGCTGCTGTAGATACTTGCTGGCCGTAGTCGCTGCTCTTTCGTAACGTTGTTGGCGTTGATGTTCATGCTGAAACCATGCGGCTTGACTGTAGTCTACCTTAAGCTCCGTCTGTACTATTCCTGTTTCGTAGTCTTATGGTGCATAGTACTCGAAACACCAGTGTCTCGTCAAGAACGACAAATAGGCAAGGGGGTATTAGTGACGAAGAACAATGGGGTAGAGTACGACAATCATTATAACATGAATGCATAACAGGAAATAGAGAATAACATAAAAATGCTAACGCTTATAAAATACGTTCGATCGAATTAGAATCAAAATATATGCATAGATATCGAATGTTGTGTATTGTGCACTGCATTTTTTCAATCAATCTTGATTTTGATTCTTCAACGTTCCCTTAATAAGTGGTATTTATAAAGTTAATTTCTAGTATTTAAACACTATCGTACGGTTCTTAAAAACAATGAAACGATTAAAGACTTAATTTTCAAATAGTAAAAGTGTTGCTTATCAAATCTCTGCTAAATTGAATGTAATACATCGATTCTAAATTGAACTCTGCGAAAAGTCTCCAACGATCGATTTCTATGCGTTAAATTATTAAAACGAATATGTGATCGGACCTGTTTCCGTGCCTCGACACAATTATTCTTCGTCACTTCAATATTATCTTTGGAGAAGGTCCACTACTCCCAGTGCAAGATGTGCACACAGTGGGAAAGTGGAAAATGTGTAAAGTAAATAAGACATACATTAACATGTTTAAGTGCTACAATGATCGAACAAATGCAATGTATCATACCTACGTAACGTCACGATTTCTCTTCGCATTAAAACATGGCGAATCTGATACGGAACAGAGATAAACAACAAGCCAGTGAAAACTCTGAGTGAAAAACATTCCCACATACCACAATATGATAGCAAACTGATTCATCGATAGATATCAAGAGCATTACTATTCGATCGTCTAGGGATTATAAAACAATGCTACATATCTTTAACGATAAATGGCAATGGAGAAAAGGAACAAATTTTTATAATCAAATGCTCCGAATGCTACGAAAATCAATAGTTGCAAACATATAGATTAATAGTTGACAATTCTAATCGACTTTGCACTGTATGCATTACGATTTATATAAAATAGAGTAAATGAAAGATATAAAAGAATTAATATCATTTAGAAACATATGTTTCTATAATTACGGGTATAATTTTCTGGCAGTCCGAGTTTAATTCAAGCAGTTTCATAAATTCAAACACTCGAAATGGAACGAGATTAAAGCCTGCAGTTAGTTTTATAGAAATAATCCGAAGGAATTGTCAACCAAAATAAGAGTATACGCGATAAAATCGTGTATGATAGAGTTCAATAACTATTAACTACTTAAAACCAGATCGCGGTTATTCATTACTGTCTATGTCAACAAGAAGGATCGGGATGAGCGATACGGAGTGCAAGAGAAAGATACTCATCGATACAAATTCATCGTATCAATTTCCATGATTAATAAAATGTAATAAACGAACAGATGAATTTGACACAATTTTTAATGATCAATCGATCCTTCTCCCTTTTACGAATTATTTATATCTTACCTCTTTACAAACGTGGAAAGAGATACAGCGTACGTTTAAGCCAACCGTTTACGTGAACGTGACTGTAGTGGATCGCTCGTCCCGATGTCGAGAGCCCTAGTTGCCGACTAACAATAAGAAAATAAAACTTTACAAGGGATATGATCGATACCATTGACGTGTGAATCGAGTAACTCAGGGTTATACGACATGACCATTGCAACGATCTACAAAGCAAGCTGGGGTCCCTAACACGACCGAGCGTAGTATAAGGATGGTCATTAGGATTAACAGGAGTACAGGATTCGAACACGAGGTCGGGGAGACGTGATTGCACATATCCTCCTCACAGAAGCACATGTGACCAGTGCCGGTACTTTCCATCATGCACACGTGGTCCACCATGAATAAGTTTATTTGTAATTGCGACGTGCAGGTCCGCCTCACGCTTTCATACGCTGGAAACATATGAAAAATTTATGAGACCTACGTAGGGAGTTAGTTGAGGCTAAGAAAAATAAAGAGAACAATGGAATATTTCGTACGGGATTAAAATTATCAAAAATACACTTCAATAAACATTGCTTGTTAGAATTAATTTGTAAGATAAGTTTATTTACAACTTTGATTGACATTTATCTTAAAATTAATTTTAATGAGAATTTCTTTTTTATGCTTCCTTTTAATATTAAATGTGAATAATAGCTTTCATACCTTTCAATAGAACTTTGAAACTTTATAGAGTCTTAATGAAAGGGAAGGAAGAAAAGTACTTACCCGATTTTGCATTTCGAACCATCTTCACGCAACACCCCTTACATGTCATCAAAGGTGGTTGATCTCTAGGAAGTGCGGTGTAATTGAAAGGATCCTTGCATCGGAGATCTGTCCACGAATCGCACTCGTAGCAATAAACGGAACGAGCTACAAAACACAATCACAATGAACAACGACGATTCTCAAGCATCTATAAAATGTTGAACATTTAACCGATATAAATACTATTCTATATGCATATTAAAATCAATTTTCGTCAATATCATATCCTTAATCAAAGGAAAGAATCTTTTAAAAAAATTTCAAACTATGGGAAAGGTAGAAACATAATTACAGATAATGAAAAAATAATTTATTAGCTAATCTTGTGCAAATAATTTATTAAGAAACGAAATTCGTGAGGTTTAATTGAATTTTCAGTTGATAAGCCTTACAGAATAACGTTGACAAAATAAAACCTGACTTGATCACTCACTCTGACACTCCGCTCGACAGACGGTGGCAACCGCGAGTACAATTGCCGCTGAAACGAAACATTGGTCACTGCTTTAAATAATGATAGTGATGATTTGAACTGTGGATATCTACTAAATGATGAACAACAATTAAGGGGGTGCACACTGCTAGGACTAATAACTATCATTCCTACTGCTACTGTCTTCGCTACTGCAACAGCTATTTATTCTCATAATTGCATCTAGGTTCGCAAATGAGTTGAAATGAACATACTTTTTTTAATCACACGCTTAATTAGTAAAACTTAGTGGATTAATGTTACAGAATGATTATCTCATCTGTAATATTTATTTTATATTACACTTTGCCTTCTTAAGTACTTATATGTTTCTCTCCGTTTGTTTACTTACCTGACAAATATATCTCTAATTTTCATTCCAATTAGTATAAGGCAATATGTCGCCATATATATCGATATTTCTTGATTCTTACGATTATTATGGAGTCTCAAATAAATGTTCTTTTATGTTATAAGTAACTAACAAATTACTTAAATTGATTTTTTATCAATGAACTTAAGAATTCTTCAATTTTGGGAAGCGCCTTTAGAATACGCACAGATCATTTTATCCTAATGTCATACCTTCCATTATGTAGCGCGACTTTCTTGTGGCATGTATTGGAAAGTATGTGATTAATAATCATTCACTAATTCAAAACTCTCAACATTTTCACCAATTTTAGTAAACTAACCAGTACGTACCTCGTGCACAGCGGCAGCGATCGTACGCAAGAATACTATTACAATAAATTCTACTAAAAGTATACTATTACTAAAAGTATACAGTTCCATTTAAGAATCCAAACTTGACTTTCATATCCCTTAAAATAATAATGTAAAAAAGAATTTGTTCACATCAAAATATTTCCTCTGTCGAACCATTCCATTATCATCCAACCATAGTTACGAAGTAATCGAACTATCATCATTATTCATGCTAATTGTAAATTCTATTTCTGTCACACTTTTCATTCACCATCTACACACGCATCCCGGGTAGTATTCGATCGTTCCCGAAGCGATCGATAAAGCACGCTCCATTCATATCTAACTATTCAGGCATAGTTATTGTTTCGGGGGAGAGGGAACTCTAGCGAACAATGGAAAGCGATAAATAATATAGAACAAGGGTATCTATAATTTTCTCGTATCATGTTCTTTTTTATGAGCTTCGAAAACTCGTTAATTCATGTAAAAATATATTATGCTAATGCGACTTTGAAATATTTATTTTCCATAAAGAGTTTTCACATTATTCGCGTTATATGCATAAATGCAATTAGGATAATGAGAAAGTGTGAAGAGAGGCAAACAGTTTAAGTACAAATTAATTCAATAAATATTACTTTTTTGATTAGATTTGTTGCATATTTATGAATGCAGTATGGCCTGCCATTATTGCTGCGTACAGGATTAATTAAAGGAAGTTCGATTCACTGGCGTAACTGTCAGTACAATTAGCGCATAAACATCATTAATGGCACAAATGGCTATTCAATTAAATGTATAAGTTTCTTAATTAAAGTACTTATGTTTGTTCAAAGTGTTAATGAACGTACACCAGACATACTAATGTACTATACTTTGTTTATGAAAGTCAAGAGAATCAAGTTTTAAATACATTTAGATTTAAGATATACATAAAAACTACTATACTAATCCTATAGACATAACAAATTGTGATGTATCTTCGCTCATTAATAGCGCGCGGAAGTTTGTGTCCGTGCTCACGTGTACATGTTTAACGTGCCTAGAATATCCTCATAGAATACACAATAAATAAGAAAGAAAATTCAAAAACACGAATAACACCGGACGAATTTTTTTTCAACTGGTAAACCGAAATTATATGCTGTTCGCAAAACTTACCTACTAAGACGTGATTCGTCCACATGATTGCCGCAATCGTTTCTCTCTACTTCTTGATCAGCTTCATTCCATGTCACGAGCTAATTCCTCCCGCAGGAATGCACGTCGAATGCAATTCAAGAAGTTGCATTCGCCCACAGGAAATTCGACTGAAACGAAAGTAGATTACAGAGAATTCAAAGATCGAACGGTTTAATTTTATTTATCGTTAAGCGGTGACCGCTCTTAATTACGCGCTGCATGTAATCAGGGCAACAAGAGCACATTAGAGCTGAAATAGAATCGCCAGTTTTAGAAAATCAATATTTCGAATGGATCTGTGTTTTATAACAGTGCGTGTCGTTCGAATATTTGAGACGCTTTTTGCGCGGGAAACGTAAAACGCAAATCGTGTCAAGAAGGTGTAGAGGACAATGAATAATGAAAAGAAGTTCAAGTCGTCTACAGATGAAAATGTGAAACAAACAAGGCGAAAATAATTGCAGAAATGCATGAATAATCGAAAATAAATCTTTGTAAAACGGCGCATTAAAATTATTTGTGAAAATCGAGAAAAATAGATTTCCTTATAGAGGATAAGCCAATAAGAAATATCATGCACAATAACTTGCCAGTAATTAAAAGTATGTTATATTTGGGTCAGCGTATTCACTATTCTCATGCAACTCGGCCACAAGCAACGCTGCGGCACGTAGTCGAGCCAACAAAAGTACCGCATATTCTCCTTCTACGATTTGAACCTTGTTTATTCAACAAAATGTATCGGGTATTCTAGATATCCTGACGTTTACACATCGTGTAGACGTTTACGATTTGGTTAAGAATTTGAAACTCGAAGTAAAATATTGTTATTTATACAATAATTTAACTAAATAATTAATCATGTTAATAGTTAACTATTATATAAAAAATAAGTTATTATTTATTCTTGAAACATTTTATAAATGGTTATGTAATAAATTTTGTAAGTATGTATCTTGTAAGTTTTGTAATGAATGTAATCAAAATGAATATTGATAAATCGATACAATAAATTTTTAATACACCATCTTCTCTTTTACGTGAAATATAAGTATTGTTTGCTTAAGCATGGAAGAAGAATTAGACAGTAAGTAATTGATCCATTAAAAAGGATTTTCAGCCGCACCCTGCGCTAGGGTTACAACCCGATTGTTTGCTTCAAGGGTCGTTTATCTTAAAACTTAAACAGGTTTCCTGGATTCAAACAATATGTAATATACGAACGTAGGTCGTGAATTTTGAAAAATCCAGAAACTGTTTTTTAAAGAATTGATTAAATAATATTTTAGAGCAAAAAGCTCTTGGATATTTTCAACTGGTAAACCGAAATTATATGCTGTTCGCAAAACTTACCTACTAAGACGTGATTCGTCCACATGATTGCCGCAATCGTTTCTCTCTACTTCTTGATCAGCTTCATTCCATGTCACGAGCTAATTCCTCCCGCAGGAATGCACGTCGAATGCAATTCAAGAAGTTGCATTCGCCCACAGGAAATTCGACTGAAACGAAAGTAGATTACAGAGAATTCAAAGATCGAACGGTTTAATTTTATTTATCGTTAAGCGGTGACCGCTCTTAATTACGCGCTGCATGTAATCAGGGCAACAAGAGCACATTAGAGCTGAAATAGAATCGCCAGTTTTAGAAAATCAATATTTCGAATGGATCTGTGTTTTATAACAGTGCGTGTCGTTCGAATATTTGAGACGCTTTTTGCGCGGGAAACGTAAAACGCAAATCGTGTCAAGAAGGTGTAGAGGACAATGAATAATGAAAAGAAGTTCAAGTCGTCTACAGATGAAAATGTGAAACAAACAAGGCGAAAATAATTGCAGAAATGCATGAATAATCGAAAATAAATCTTTGTAAAACGGCGCATTAAAATTATTTGTGAAAATCGAGAAAAATAGATTTCCTTATAGAGGATAAGCCAATAAGAAATATCATGCACAATAACTTGCCAGTAATTAAAAGTATGTTATATTTGGGTCAGCGTATTCACTATTCTCATGCAACTCGGCCACAAGCAACGCTGCGGCACGTAGTCGAGCCAACAAAAGTACCGCATATTCTCCTTCTACGATTTGAACCTTGTTTATTCAACAAAATGTATCGGGTATTCTAGATATCCTGACGTTTACACATCGTGTAGACGTTTACGATTTGGTTAAGAATTTGAAACTCGAAGTAAAATATTGTTATTTATACAATAATTTAACTAAATAATTAATCATGTTAATAGTTAACTATTATATAAAAAATAAGTTATTATTTATTCTTGAAACATTTTATAAATGGTTATGTAATAAATTTTGTAAGTATGTATCTTGTAAGTTTTGTAATGAATGTAATCAAAATGAATATTGATAAATCGATACAATAAATTTTTAATACACCATCTTCTCTTTTACGTGAAATATAAGTATTGTTTGCTTAAGCATGGAAGAAGAATTAGACAGTAAGTAATTGATCCATTAAAAAGGATTTTCAGCCGCACCCTGCGCTAGGGTTACAACCCGATTGTTTGCTTCAAGGGTCGTTTATCTTAAAACTTAAACAGGTTTCCTGGATTCAAACAATATGTAATATACGAACGTAGGTCGTGAATTTTGAAAAATCCAGAAACTGTTTTTTAAAGAATTGATTAAATAATATTTTAGAGCAAAAAGCTCTTGGATAACTCATTACGTTAAAGAAATATGGACAAAAAGGTAGAGATCCATTTTCACCCTTGTTCGGCCCTGTTAGGGTGGAATGAAACAAAATCCGCCCTTAGTAAGCACTCACAAGACGATAGGAATATATCTTTGAAATACCAAGTCGATCGGTTTCGGGTTACGTTTCGGATATGTTAATCAGGATGTTTTTTTATATACGAGTTGATTGATTGGTTGACTGAAATTTTCATTTATTCTCAAAAGACACATCCACGCATCAATTTTACAGATCTAGCCCCAGTCCCCGCATCAATTTTCAAGCCCCCACGTGCGAACACGAAACATGCGTTACTCCAACTTCCGTTACATTGTTATATAGCTCTCTCAAGTTGTAGTCTTATAGTATTCCTGAGATTTCAAAGAATAGGTTGGTACAGATTTTATGAAAATCGGTCTAGCGAAGGTAATAACGTTCAAACACACAACTCGTAAGAATCATATAAAGTAGTGTAGATGTTCTATGAATCGAGAGATGTTTCGAAATGTCCCTCGTATTAAAATAAACATGAACTCCCACTCTCAGTATACAATCTCTTGATGAGAAGTGAGTTATAATCAGCGTAAACTTTAAATGAGAATTTTTGAATTAGCAATGCGATTTACTTTTGCGATATACCGCCGAAGATTCTTAACCCATTTGCATCACACAGAAAAGTGAAAAATTCGTTCTTATCACCAAAATTTTTTTTGATTGTATTTAAATGAAAATGTTTTTAAATGTTAAAAATAAAAGCAATATTACATAAATAAAGAATTTTTATTTCATAATAGATTCATAATTATGAGAGGAATAAATAAATAAATAAATACTCAATCTGATTACTATCACTACTATCAGAAGAAATCGCCATAGAACGTCTACGTTTTCTAAATCTAATTACCTCTTCACTGCTGTCGGAAATATAACCATCCATTTTTTTTTATTTTTCTAAGTTATTTTACCCTGAAACTATTCGCGATCACCTCTTTTCATTGACTGAGAGCCAAATACGCATGGGTATAATATACGTTCTGGTAATAAATGCCCAAGTGGAATGTGCGCATATATGCGCGCTCTGGTGATAGTGGCCAGGCAAAATGCGCGCATATATGCGCTTATGATGCAAATGGGTTAATCCTTTATAATGTTTATATGTAGAGACTAAGTTAACGAATCACTAACGTAACTTATGATTTCTGATTACTCTACTACAAAAATAGACGATCCAGTGTGAATCGTATGTTCTGTTACTGCATCGCGATTTCATCTTTTTGGCAAACGCATGGCACATATCATACATTGGAACATTTGTCTCGAAAAGCTAGTCAAAACTGTTCTAGTAGTGCAGCAGTGTAGGTAGTGTAGCAATTTGCTCCAATTATATATATGTATTATAATAATATTAAAAGCTTTATACTGAGCATTTATGAAAATATTGATTTTTAATCTTTTTGAAACAATGATTTTTTTTTTGCATCTATTAATACTAGTGGTCTTCCTATATTTAGATAGTTTGTATTTGCATTTAATATTTACAACATTTAGACTTTCACCACACTCCAATCAATTCAATCAACGATTAAACGTTGCCAACAGCAAAATTTTAACTATGTCTTCTATGAGGAATGTTTAGTTAGAATGTTATTTAAATATTCTAAATAATAAATCTATTAGAAATCGATTTAGGTTGACAAAATCTAGTTGAAATTAATCGGAACTTGGTGAAACTGAACATGCTCCTTAGTGAACATATATATACATATATTCGTAGACGAATTAATTTTTAATCATCCCAAAGGAAATCTTATGTAATTGACAATGCAAAATGTGTCAAGTACTCTGCGTTTTTAATAAATCCCACACTTGAGTATGTTTACTTTGTTCTTTCAATGGCACACAGTTTTATACATATAAGTAATATCCGCACATGATAATCTCTCCGTGTGTCCAATTATACTACTATCGGTCATGTTTATACTGTTTCTTATCACATACACATAAAAGTGATTGCATGAAAGAAGATAAAATAATCACTTGATATACGAGACGCATAATAGGAAGTGTTTGCAAAGTACTTGCAACAATTTAATGTGCAATAGATTCTTCCTTGTAAATCTAATAATGAGTGCGTACGAAACGGGGGAAGATCGTTAATAAACAGAACTGAAATATAAACAAAAGATATGTTCTTCTGAATATTAACAAATGAACTAAGTCAAAAGAGTATTTTCCAAGTTTAGCTGTATTAATTACGATTACAATTTAAGCACCTGTTGCTCAAGATAGTACGCGGAAGCCTGTTCG